AGCGAATGCTTCCCTCCATGGCCAGACCAGATGGGTCCTATGCTACGACACATTCCGACATCAATGACCTGGTTGCACAACAGCTATCCCCTGGCGATCCTGCCCCTTGGAAGGACTCTATAATAGACATGGACAGTGCTCAGGAAATGGAGATTGCCCTTGCTAGGTTCCCTACGAACACGGGTCCAGGAGAGGATGATATTGGATATCCTTTCATACGATTCTGGAAGCGAAGGGATACAACAACTCTGAGATGTTTGGTCGACTATGGGTTAAGTCACGATATTCAGGACTGGCATCGGGCAGAAGTAGTGCTCATACCAAAGATTGACAAACCCAGATATGATGTCGTCAAATCGTGGAGAATGATACACCTCCTCCCGACACCTGCAAAGGTTGCAGAACGCGTGGTCTTACTGAGGCTAGTCATTTGTCTTGACCTGGGGGAGACACAGTTTGGTTCTCGCCCAAAGAGGGGGGTTCACAACGCCATGGCGGTGGTTTTAGAGTTCCTACAACATAATGAGGGCTATAAACGGCTGATATTGTCTATGGACGTTGAAGGAGGATTCGATAACATTGATGTTGACCTCCTGTCAGACTTCCTGGTTGCCCGGGGGTGTCCGTCGAACCTGTGTCAGTGGGTGCGAAGGTGGACTTCCTGTCGGTCAATTCGCTTCCGGTTTAATGGATGCGTCTCTAAGACCTACTATGTCAGCAAAGGGGTGCCTCAGGGCGCACCTCTCTCTCCATTTCTCTTCGGGGCCTACGTAGCGGATATATTCACACCGCGAATGTGGTACTCCCCCGGGGTCCGACAATTGGTGATCTCATACGTTGATGAAGGGGTCATCATGGTCACTGCAGACTCTTGCAACGCTGCCCGGTACCATGCGGGAGAAATATTTGCAGACTGATATCGCATAGCAAGGGCTAGGGGGATGGGGTTCAGTGCCTTTAAGACCCAGTGGATCGGGTTCGGGGATAGGGCGTGGGGAGGAATGGAGTTGTTAGGAGAAATGGTTTCACCTACTAAGGATTTGCGGGTTCTTGGTTATAGGTTTAATGTATTTCTTAACTTTTCTTCTCATATAAAGTATTGGTTGGAAAAGGGGTTGGGTGTTAGGAGAAGGATTTTGGCGTTGGGAAGGAGATTTGGGAGTGTTGGAGGGCTTGGGGCATGGGAGACTTACCAATTGGTACAGGCAGCCTACCTTCCGACCATGTATTACGGGCTTGAGTTTGTAACCGACCATGGGTCGTATGTAAAACAGATTCAGGTCCACGTCAACGACTGCCTTCGATCAGTCTTCTGGACCCCTATGAGGCTGGCAAACAATATACTGCTGGCTGAGTTCGGAACACCGCCTGTTACCATCCAAGGAAGGTATCTGCAGAGGAGGTGCTACAGCCAATTTATTAACTACCGGTACTGTGATCGACACCCATGGTTCGGTGAGATACGGCACGACTGGAAGCAGGAAGGGATGGTGGCACACCAGCAGAGCTTGGACAAAGAACTCAGCTGCCGCCCCACGATTATGATCGGAAAAGGCATGGCGGTAATAGCTGCATGCCACCGTTCATTGTACACAGATCTGTGCAATTCCTCGGACGTGGTCATATACACGGACGGGTCCAAGACCCCTGAAGGGGCTGGTGTGGCATGGGCAGTATTTGAGAAAGGAGCCCTGACCTGTGTCAACGGGTGCTCAGTTCCCCAGTCGTGGAGCATTGTTGAGTGCGAGCTGTTTGCAGTTGTCTGTGCACTCCGATATGCCCGAGGAATGGCTAAGAGGTGCCTGGTCCATGTGTTTATAGACTGCGTTCCTGCCCTCACCCTGGTAGACGGTATGTCTTCAGAAGGAGATTCGGCTGAACTGTGGGAAGTTATGGCACCATTACTTAATGAGTTTAGCCACGTCAACATCAGCTGGGTTCCGGGATACATGGGCATTGACGGCAATGAGACGGTGGACCAAAAAGCTAAGGCCTGCATAGGTCGTCCATTGCAGCCTCTGAGTTGGGAAGGGGTTAGCTTTGGGATTGGGCATGCGGCGTTGGCCCGAGAATTGCGAAAAGCAGAGTGGGGTTCATGGCACGACAGGGAGGGACACGGGTATTATGCTCGCGAACCTAGGGCACCTCAGCATCTTCGAGGCCTCACCCGTATGGACTCCTATGTTTTACTGAGAATTCGCAGTGGGACCGGTTTGGTTGGGCATGACAGTTGTGAAGGAAAGAATGACAGACACCATTGGACAAAGTGCCCCCGCTATGCTATAGGACGCCCTGCTGATGAGGACTTGTACAAGGATTCGGCGATATTACGGTGGAAGTCCTGGTGGGTGAGTCATAGGTGGTTAGGCCTAGGGATTCCCTGACATGTTGAGAAGGTGGATGGGGAGTTGGTAGTAGCAATTAACCCCTTTGACGGGACACTGATGGTGGAAAGAGGTGGTCGGTTGGCAACGGTGGAGGATCCCACAACCTGCACCCGGTGCGAGAAAAGACACGATGGCAGTGGATGCGTTTTACCGGGATTGGTAACTATGCTGAAGAAATGGTTTTTCTTGCCCGACCAACGACGCTGCGACTGTCCCTGTTGTGGGACTGCCATTTCAGCGACGGCCACCCAGAAACGAGTCACCTTCGCCGAACACTTTCAGAAAAAACCCCGCTGTTTACGAACATGTCACGATTGGTTTTGGCATGCTCGGCACCAGCAATGGGATGAGCTGGACCTCGCGACTCGGATGTCGGTGGTTTTGCGGTGGGCTAAGACAAAACGGTTGTTAAAAGTGGAGCATTGTTCATTTTGTAGGATGGTTCTGGCCGAGGGGTACGTGGACCTGGGACTGCATTATAAGAGGACAGAGGGGTGTTGGGATAGACTGTATGTTTCCTTTGTAGAGTATGTAGGACAGATTGTGTTGGAAGTGGATAGGGGTGAGGGTATGAGACAGTGGCTGGGTAGCGAGGTGGGAAGACGCGTTAATCCGGGACAGCACTAGTTGCTGTGAGCGCCCGTGAGCCCATTTAGGTAGTGATTTTTGGATTTATATTTGGGGGGAGTGGCTGCGAGGCAGAATGGTCCGTGGTAGTGTATTTTAGATAGTTTGTTTTATGGGGCGAGGGGGAGACTGGTCGTATGCCGGTGTCGGTGGTACTAGTATAAATCAAATTAGATTGAATTCTAAGTACTTTTCCTACTTATTACTTTAACGAATATAAAACACCTTTACGATCTTTATCTTTATTGCAACATTATCGTTACGCCAAGAAGTGCTCGTCACAAAAACGAGTTAGAGAAAGCTTACCATAGGTGTTCCTGATAGAAGACAAAGGTCTTGTACTATCAGTAACATAGGCAGAGGCCTAAGGCTATCGTAAGACAAAGAAAGAAGAAGATAAAAACGAGAAGTATTGTTCCCCGTTGCCAAGAACTAACTGTCCAAAGGGGATCATTACAATTAGGAGGATCTGTTGCTGTAAACCTGTAGGGAGCTATTGTTGTAGCAAAGTACTCTGACTACCTTTCACTTAGATGCCAAACCTATTTGACTATTTATGCTTCAAATCTATATTTTTATTGCTAGCTATTTTTCTAATAGTCATGATACCTTTTCTTGTCATGCTACTATATTAAGTCAAACTGGTCACATTCATGTTCTTAGTGCTGATATTTTTTTTCTTTTTACTTAGAAGCTATGGAGAAACATGGTTGTTGGGTATCATGTGATCAAGTTACATTGTTTAACACAGTCAGCTCACCCGGTAGTCCTGTTCCATGAATTCTTTCCAAATTCACATTCTTACCCCCTGCTCTGTACCATGAATTTATGCCTGTCCCTTGTACCCTATGCCACGGCCAAAAAGGGAGCTACCGCAACCCAGCGAGATGGGGATTCGAGTCAATTATTTTTGTTAGGAGATTGCCGTACCGTACCGTACTGTAATGTACTGTACTATAAGTAAATAGCGCTCGGACAAAATTCATTGCTCTCGATGCAACCGATCATGTAACAACTACTCGAGTAAACTACAACCTCAACCCCAACCATGGCACTCCCAATACCTCAACCAAAAGGGGTTGATGCAAGAAGAGGGTAGGAAGGAAATAATGGCCAGAGTCTATACATTGGGGCGTAGTAAGAACGAGGGATCTTGGAATAAGTTTTACCAAGATATCGTCTCAAGCAAAAATACCTGCTTTGATACTTGCCTTGGCTCCGAATAGTATAAGCGCAGTGAATTATTTCCTACGGACCATGGTACTATAGCTGTTATATAGTTATTTCTGTTAAGAACAGTAGGGAAGTGTCACTTTAACTACTAGTAAATGTAGCATGTAGAAATCGATGGATTTGATAGTTTAATAAGTCTTTAGAACATCTGAGAAGAAATAACTTCTAGAGTATACTAGGCTATAGGAATATGAAAGTATAGAGGTGTTGAGGAAATAATATAAGCATATTTTGTTAGTATATCAAAGAGAACATATAATGGAATAAGGAATGTAGGAAGGAATAAAGTAGGTAATATTATAAGGGAATACACTCAAACCCCAAACTATTCCTCACTTTATTCTTTGAAGGACTTAGGGTATTAGCTTGATTCTTATACATAAAATAATATTGGGGTGTATACCACTAGTATTATACGGTGATGTTATCATAGTTGGAAGTTTTTTTTGGATATCATGGTAAATTTGTTGTGCGCAACGAACGTCACGGTATCATAGTTTACCTCCTGCAAAACCCCACAGGTGATTTCACACCGATATTTGCCGAAATGCTCGACCACCACGCCGACCCCAGGCAGGGTCAAAGGAGCGTAATCCTTTCTCAACAACATTTTATTAGTTGTAGAGATACATCATAGCCAGCTGAAGTCTAGGACATTTGCTCTGCAAGAAGCCCGTCTATTATGATAATATTATGATACCCTTAGGATGTGGGGTTCTAACCAGACACCATCTATCAGACCTTGTGGAACCCTTTTCCTTTAAATTTTTTTACATTGCTATTAACTTTTATAAGAATCAAGATCAACATGTCATAAGAATGTGCTTGAGTAATCATGAGTTATGAGTTCCAGCCCAGTTGCTGTAGTCTACGCACACGGAGGACTACTACCCATACAGTACTGTAAGCAGTTTATCAATGCTCTCGCCGCGGTAACCGGCGTCAAAATGGAACCGCCGCCCTGCCGTGTCGGTAACATCTATTAAGCTGTATTATCTCGTACATAGTACAACCACATTTCCCGAGAATTGCCGGAAATGGTATGAGGGGGTTGAATCCTCACGTTGTCTCGCAAATGCCGAACTGGGGTGGGTGGTCAAAATGGGAAAGAGCTGCTCGTGCGTCTCGAGTACCTGGATGGTATAGGGTCCGGGAACTTCCATATGTGTACCGTATGCCTTTAGCAGTAATGCCACCGAGGCGACCAAATAGTAATCTTGCACCGAATTGTCTCTTTGTATTGGTGGGCTCGGGGTGGGCTAGTTACAGCTGAGTCTGGAAATATCTCTTGTTGATCAACTGTGAGCGATCCACCCGGCTCCCCGGCCTGGGTGGGTTTTAGCACTGCCCGGGTCGGGGGGTGGGCTAGCACTCAGTACCTGCAGTAAGTATCCCCTCGTGTGAGCGGTTCATACAACAACACTCGATACTTACTTTGGATCACTGTCTGGCCCTTGGCAGAGGGGGAGAGGGAGGGAGAAGCTTCTCGGCGTAGTTGGTATATATTGGGGGAACTAGCTCTTCTGGCCTGCAATCCACAAATACCCAGCTACTCAGAGGAGGTTTCACCTGTGGTGGTAGAGACGTAGATACCAATATAGAATTAATGCTAATGTATAACTGGAAGAACTACCCAGCAACATTCGAAACCTCGGGCACACCCATCTCGATAATCCTCTTTATTACATCCCGTTTTTGCTTCTCAGCCTGCAACATGCAAAGTCCCGTAGCAATAACAACATGTCTAAGTCTCTCCCTCGCAACATCCGGATTATGTCCCTCCAAAGTCAAATACGTCGTTTCCCTCAGCGCCTTCTCATATATTACCAATCGCCCGCACTTCCTCTTGGCGAGCAAACAGGTATATTTCGCAACCACGACCTCGCGGTGGCCTCTTGGCTTTCCGCCGCCGCTAACAGACAATTGGCTAGCGTTCGAGCATTTCCTAGAGATCGTAGAGACGAAACTAGAGAAACTATTTTGTCGACGTATTGTGATTTGGGGCCCCTTTTTATCGCCTTTGGTCTCGGTGGCGGTGACCCCTTCTACTTCCTCTTCTGGTTCCTCGGGGAACTTTGCCACGAGCTTCAGGTGACTGAGTCGGGACAAAGAACCCCAATACTTCTTCTCGTCCCGGACCGTGCCGGTTCCTTTCCATACAAATTCTATACCCCTCCACTTGAAGTCGTATTCCCGAGTGAGCCAACCGGACCACTTCATCAGCAGGCTCCCTTCCTCTAAAGTCTCAGGCTTTAGGTGGTCGGGCAGGTCTTCTGGCTTAGGACCGGATGGGAGCATCGACTCAATTTCCTCTTCCCTTGTAGGCCTAGTTGTAGACCCAGTTGTAGGCTCAGTTGTAGGCTCAGTTGTGGGCTCAGTTGTGGTTTCAGTGGTAGACTCAGTTGTGGGTTCAGTTGTGGGCTCAGCCGTGTCTCCGGTTTTCGCTTCTGTTGTAACTTTTTCTTCGCCTTTAGGCTTTGAAGTTGGCGAAGCGGTATTCAAACGGAAGATGCGTCGGGCGGTATCGGAAAAGCTTTTTGACCGCTTCAATTGCTGATCCGGTGGTGCGCCCTTCGCCTTTTGTCGTTCGGCGCGTTCGGTTAGATATTTCTTTCCACTCTCCCCCTTTCTATGCCCTGAGAGCCTAAGTGGATATTTAGACGCCAGAACGCCTCGTGGGTCGATAACCCCCGGTTCATTTAAGCTCTTCCACTCTTTCCCAGATTTGCCCTTATCCTCGCCACCAGCGAAGCCACTGTCAATGCGATTCTGCTTCCCCGATTTCTTCGATTCCTTCTCTGGGACAACAAAGTCCATTCTCCAGGTCCTCCAGAACCAACCTCCTTCCACTAAACAGACAATCGGAGCCGTCTTGTTGTGTCCGAACCGCAAAGTTTGTGCTGGGCAACGCCAATATATCATTGGGGAATGCATGTAGTACGTGGCTTTACGTGGATCCATCTCTGGATCTTCGACCTTCACCTTCTTCGCTGGCAACTTGGACTTCCGATTCTTGAACTTGCTGATGCGGGTTGAGATTGGGTCGCCCTTGTCAATGATAATTGGGGGGCCATCGGGCTCTTGCAATGTCTCTTTCAGAGTCGAGTCCTTGACCGTATGAATACTGAGGTTATTATGTGCACTGCCGTTACGATAGATGTGGTAGATGGTCGTATCTGGTGAGGCGATGTCGCTGGTGTCCGTAGCAAGTGAGATATCTGTGACCGAAGTTGCGGCCGAGTTCAGGTACGCTTCGGAGTCGCTTGCTATGTCAAAGGAGGATGCAATCGAACCACTGCGAGTGCGTGTGATTGGGGAGGTTGGAAAGAGGGTCTGGGAAGGGTAGGGGGATGCTGGCTGTTCGTCCTCTTGTTGGGGAGTCAGTGGTCGCGAGGGAGGGATAATCGCAAGAGTGATTGACACTTCAGACTTAGCACAACCTGGTAGACGATAAGGGATTTGAGGGGAGGTGGTATCAGTAGGCGCTACAGCGTCAGGAGCCCTTGTAACTGTTACTTCCATTTTCGATAGAGTCGTGAGCTATGACACTGAACTGAGCAGCCAGTGGTAAAATATCACGGAAATCCGGAGGAGTGAGAATAATGCCACAATATAAATCTTTTCTGGGCCCACCGATCACAGTACGAGTAGTGTCTGCCCCCTGCCTCAAAAAATCAACACACCGAAAAAAAGACACATCCAATTCCAAGCCGTTTACCCCAAAGCTTGGCCCTTAACTCTGTTGATCCATTACCTCCCCGGTATCGTCATTCGGGCTGTGTCTCCTTGCAACATCTGTGTAACGTTTAACCGGTCTCCCCGAATAGCAAAAGAAAAAGAAAAAGAAAAAGACGAGAGAGGCAAATCACTGTCGTGAACAACTCAAGCTCTGAACGCACGAATAATATCTTATTCCACACACACCCTCTTTGCCTTTCTCCAAGCCTCTCTGCCTTACGAACCCTTACCCACCCCCAAGTGCAACCGCCCTCAATCTCCAATTATTCAAGAAGTGATTTTACCATAGCTTATCATTCCAAGTTTGTTAAACTGTTCTGCCCGGAGATGTTAAACACTATCGTCATCTTTGCTAAGTCAGTCAAATGGTTTTCCCATGTTGTCTTGTTGGGCAAATCATTTCTGGGGTTCGGTGAGGTACGGATATGTATTATGTGACACTGTCCGACAATGGTAGTGTGCAACAGGGCAGTGCAATCCTAGGATAACGTCTCTCGGATTGAGGTGGGTTGATTGGTCGGTTGATAAATGAAAATATCGCTGCTGATCACTTGAGTGAATACGAGGTGATGGGATAGTTTGTGTGGATGGATGGATGGATGGACGGAGGTGTGAATATCACGCAGTATCGGTAATGGAAATAGAGTACTCGGGTAGGATATTGGGCAAGTGGATTAGGGGAACGTTTATAGGTGGAATTTTTGGGTGAGGTTACTGATCCAAAGCTGATGTTGTCTATAGCACGAAAATGGTACAATCTCCGAGGTAGGTAGGGTATGATACAAGCCCTGGTTCCTGGGGGAGGCGAATTGAGGGTGGTGAGGGCACCGGGTGGATGGGGTACAGTATCAGAGTTCAGGTGGTACGGAGGAGAATGAGGGGGTTCATTTGGAGTTGGTGGTGGTGGAGCGAGCGCGATAGGATGTGAGGTGATCATGGCTTGTTTCACTGGTAAATTATTGGAAGATTGAAGCAGTTTTGGCACCTGTTTCCGCTTTTCTGCGTTCTGGAAGGTTGATTGCGTTGCGTGTTTCGACTTTGCTTCCAGGATATTCAACTTAAGCTCTGATACAGCGCTCGAGTCCCGGTGGGCGGGTTGGGAGGGATACCGGTATTATTATTAGCAGGTCTAAAAAATCAAGAGAGCGTGTGGATCTACTCGAGTAAGCCTTTATGGGCCAAGCAACCGCCCCAGCTTGTCATCAATGTAGAATTTATCAGCTGTTGGTAATTAAGTTGCCCAGCTTGGCTGAATCGGTTCTCGGTTTTAGCTCGGATCTTTGACTTGTGTCTTGGACAAAGGCTTTCTTGCCCTTGATTTTTCAGATCTGCTTTAATGTCCCTCGGTGCCGGTTGTCCTACTTTCTTGATTTACTGGGCCAATCAGACGTAGCGTTTATTCTCTATAAGCTTGAAGTTTATTTGAGGGGCGTTATTGTGTGATGGGAAAAAAATCTGGTATCGTAATAAAGCAGAAGAAATAAATTTCTGGTCTCAATGTTCAACTGCGAAAACGCCTTGCGGGCGTCATATATCATCCGAGAATACCGGTATTATCGCCTGACTATCAAATCCGACCTCAATACCCACTTTCCAACACCGGCATCTTCCGTTACCACCCTTCCTTAGTGGAGAAGGCAGTGGGCTCCGTGTTTATGCAATAGCGCGGTTCCCTTTTCTGGCTCAATGGCGTATTCCTCGCCCCGCGTGTGCTTTGTAGCTTCTGTGTAAAACACCGTTTCTCCTCCTCGAACTCCGTCACTCTTTCCAGTGAGGTATATTAACAGTGTCCATGTGGTCTGAACTCTCACCTGCGGATCGCCGACTGAGAACGAGGCTGTATCATCATCTGTCAAATGCTTAACATTGCTTCTTCCTCATGGGGCCACTGCTAGGGGGATTACAGTGTTTATCAAAGAACTGGCCTTTAGAGTATCTATAAACCCTGATATTTGGGCTAAGCCCTACGACCTCCCCACCCCACAATTCCTGCCGCCCATCCTCACCAGCCTCCCGTGCCACCAGGTCCTTCAATCCCGTTTCATTCCACAAACGCTCCGCAAAGCCCAGGTCGTATATTGAGATACGGTCATTCACACGCACTGCTTCACCACGCTTTGGATTTCCGGGTGTTGTGGTCAGATCTAGGGATTGGGAAGCGAAGTTGAGGTAGGTTTTGCAGAGTGTTGCTGTGAAGAATTTGGGTATAGTAAAGATTTGCGTGGGCAGGATCGTTTCCACTGTTAGGTCCTCGGACGGGATTACCGGAGCAAGGGGTGGCCATGACGGTGGCGGTGGTGGTGAGTATCGCTCTCGGGTTGGGACCTCCTTGTTCTTCGCGGAACCCTTTTTGGGCATTGCTTTGAGCTTTTTATTCGTAGATCTCTACCCCGCAGGTTGGCCAAACTAGACAGATGGATGTGGTATTAGCTTAGGTGCTCCGTGAAATTTAGGGTAGAGAAGTAACCTTCTATGGTGCCTGAATAATGTATAGCAAAGTGTCAAATACTGGTATCATAGGTGTGATATCCCTTAGGCTGTCCGTCAGTAAAATTCGTTACCCGCGTTCTGAGCCTGTTTTTGGAACAATCTGAGTTTTTCAATTGGCAAAGAATATCTGAGCCCAGCATGGTGCTGAGTCATCTGGGCGTTAAAAAACCAGAAAAATACTATTTTCACCAAGTAAAGCTAACCGCTACCCAACCTGGCCTTAGCGTGCTGGCAACGAGTTCTCCTGTGTCCCAGCCCAAGGATGAGGGGGCTGGGGGTTTAGGGCATCAAAACTTAATTGTGGCTACTAAACCCATGCCCTGTGGCGCCGGGCACTGGGTCAGCCTGTCCTTAGTCAGCAAGGCCCCTCCGGAAACCGAGCTTCGTCACCAGTCGATTTCATTCCCTGTGCCTATTGAGCACTCATCTCTTTTTCTCTTTCCTAACCTCCCGCACCTCGCTTCACCAAAGATTACGATATCGGCAGCCCCACACACCCGCTATAAAGCTTCGGCCCTGAGTCTCTAGATTTCACAGGTAAATCTTGTTTTCAAAATAAACATGTGGAGCTGGTTTGGAGGTGGTGCCGCAAAGAAGAAGGACTCTGCCAAGGATGCTATTCTCAAGTTACGGGAGCAGCTGGAGATGCTGCAAAAGAAAGAGAAGCATCTCGAAGGAGAGATTGCGGAACAAGACGCTATCGCTCGCAAGATGGTCCAGACAAATAAAAACGGTTTGTGTTGACTCCCCGCCTCCTTCCCATCTACCTGCCCCAGACCTCCTACAGCCCCATCTACCCTGGTAAGCGTGCTGTCTTTGGATGTGCGATATGCCCATACTTCAATATCTCCCTGGGAGCGATCGTGTCTTGTGGTTGCTTTGGCTAATTCTCATCTATCATATAGCCGCCATGACTGCATTAAGACGCAAGAAGACTCACGAGACTCACCTCGCTTCAACTGTCGCTCAGATCAATACCATTGAGCAGCAGATGCACTCTATCGAGACAGCGAACTTGAATTTTGAGACTCTGAAGGTTATGCAATCCGCTAGTGATGCCATGAAGAAAATTCATAACGGCATGAACCTGGATAAGGTCGACATGACAATGTACGTGACTGTTTTTCTTAGCATTCGATTTAGATATACCCGTTAGGTAGGTGGTATCGAGCGAGAAGTTGAGGCAGAAGTTCGAAACCATAGGAGAATTCCTGCCCAGTTCAGCCTAGTATCCATCTTTTGAGAACTAGCCTCTTGCTTTCGACACCACAAAGCTTGGACCTGGGAATCCTACTGCACTTGAAAAAGAAAGAGTGAGCAGAATACTGACCAGTTACGCTACAGGGAGGAAATCAGAGAGCAGCAACAGATTGCCGAGGAGATCGGTAATGCGATTGTCAATATGAGCGAGCCTACCGACGAGTCTGAGTTGTTGAAGGAGTTGGACAATATCAAGCAAGAACAGTTAGATACTCAAATGCTCAGCGCCCCGTCTGCTCCGATTACTGCGACGCCCCAAACCAGTAGGCTTTATTTCCCGTTTTTTTCTTTGTATATTATAGAGTATGTTACTAACACAAGTGTTTTTTTTAGCCAAGGGCAAGATGATCGAAGAGGACGAAGATGCAGAACTGATGAAGTTGAAAGCGGAAATGGCAATGTAATAAACAATTGGATAATCGCTATTATAAGAGCCAGAAATCTAGGTTGGGGAGTTTAGAATTTGTATTTGTTTCCTAATTTTTTACGACAGACCGTTTCGCAGAAGATTGATTTCTGGGTGCTGGCACAGTCATTTTTCCCCCTTACCTGTTTACTAGGATTTTATTTTCCCTGGTGCTCGGGGAGGGAGCCTGTCGGGTTAGCAACGGTCAGGGCAAGTCTTGGGATGATGTCTGCAGGTGTACACACTATCTCCATGTTTGTGTTTCCTTGATTATGGCGTCCAGATGTCTTGTGGATAACCTTTTCTCTCTCAACCTCTCCCCCTTCTGCTGCCCCTCTCATCATTTGTTATTGTCTTCTCCCCTTTCCGTCTTTTCTTTGGTTCCTTTGCGGGCAACTCGGTGGCTTAGTTTGGCTTTGGGAGCAAGTGGAGTGTTTTGTTTCCTTCCTTTCCTTTCCTTTTTACGTTGCGTGGGCATTTGTACTCAGATTTCGAATAGCTATACTTTGGCAACGGATCAGGTGACTTTGACCCTTTGACCGCGAACGTGGAATACACAGAGCGAGCGTAGTCTAATTGTACGCAAAGTGATTGAGTTCGGAACTTAGTGGGAGTTGCTTTCTTGGGTGATAATTGGTGACCTCATAGGTTAGTGAGCGTTTCCTGGCGCAGAATTGTAGACTTGTAAGTTCCACCTTGGATGAAAGAAACGGCTCTATCATAGTGCTCATAATTATGATACTCCCTGCAAGCTATTTTGGAGTGTATCCGATAGGATGGAAGCTTAAAGCTGCGAGCACGGTGCACGGGGTTCCAGCAACCCTTGTACGAGCACTTTCTCAAATCTGGAAATTGCCCTAAGTTAGCCTATCAGTTGCCAAGAGGACCACACGCATTCACTAGACTAATGCCCGGTTATCCTCACGATGGTTGAACGGTGTCGGTGGGGACCCACCTTGGTTTAAAGCGCTCCGTCGAGATTATTGTTCCCAATGCGACTGATTGCTCATGCGATACTGACGTCGGGTCCCTTCCTACTTGTAACACAGACCTAATACCCATAGTGTATTCGAGTACAGGAGCTGCCCTTCTTAGGTATCCTACGCTAGCGGGAGGGTGCATGTGAATTGGAAGAAGACAGTTATGGCGGAGGTTATGGCAGAGGCGTTGGCTTTTGGCGGTGCTCAAGAGATGTCTTAGAGTCTTCGTACTTGCGGGGCAACTCTCCCCCCCAAGAAAGCTGTGTTGGAAACCGTAGAGTTTCCAACATATATAAACTATATACATATGTGCTTCATACCGGAAAGTCAATCTGCAATCCTGAGAGACACTAATGGCTTTTGGTTGGTTAGTGGAAGAAGCTAGGTATCGACGTTTAATGGCACCTATGTAATCGGTAAGCCCCAATGTTGGATGTGTCATGCCGCATACAGTACTTCCTCCGCTCTTGTTTAGGGTGTCGGTCGATATGACTACGTTTTTGTCATTGTCATTATCAAAAAAGCTCCTTGACATACTTGGCTCCGCGAGCTTTGCGAACTGCAGTTTGGCAAAATGCTGTTTGTGGGAAAGGATTCATCTTGCCAGAGTTGGTTATCCCAAGCAAGGCCTACTACTACAAGAACGTGTTTAAAAGGTGGAATAGAGGGAGTTTGTATTTGAGTGGTGGAATAACTCTACTTTCCCAATGCTGACTGAATTCGCAGGTCATGTGATAATGTATTTCACTGTTTTCCTTTTTCGCTAAGATACCTTCTATCATAATAATAATTATATATATAAAAAAGTAATAAAATTGTTATTTGCCTCGTTTTGGTTTGAAAACAACAATTGGAAATTGGTGTTTTTTTTTCCAGCTTCATAAGCTATTTCATAATATCATAGTATTTCGAGTACCGTCGTTGTATCTGGCGAGTCGGTACCCGTGGCGTGTGACTGTGACAATAACACGTGACGTTCTATTGTCAGAAAAATATCAAATTTTACCACACTAAATTAATTAATTAACAAACAACTCCTCCTTCTCATTACTTCCAAAGCTGACCACCCCCATCACTTCAGATACTCATAGCTCACAAGTGACATCAGCATGTCTGATGTCTATCCATCTTCTACTACCCCCTGTCCTAACCAGTTTCTATTTATCTCCTTCTAACTTCTCACTTGATATCTACCTAACTGTTAGGTGGAGACAACCTTGATAGACTTCAGGGTTGTCTAGGCCAACCAAGAGTCGTTTCTGTAGACGGAGATTGTCTAGGAAGGCTCGGATTATACTCGTTTCGTTTATGACTACTAAGAGCAAAGTAAAGTAGATAAAGTAAAATAAAATTGTAGGAACAATATTATATTGTTAATGTCTCTTCTCTACTGCTTGAGGATGTCTAAAAGCTTGAGAGGCACTTTGATATTTATATTCTGCATCTGAGTGTTCGTGAACTACGTCTATCCATTATATAACTATGTATTTCTCTGATTATAACTTGCAACATCAGGTATTCTTTAAAGATGTGAACACCTGAAGACTCTGAAAATTATCACATTCTCTTCAGTAATTATGATATTGCTAACTAGAAACTATACTGTTCTCAATAGTAATTATCCGATTATTAGAGTATTTAGACTTATGGTCCAGTTCTCAGGTTGAACTGAGTTGGCCCCAATTGTCTCCATTATTGATGAAATGATTAGTTTTATCTACATGTTGTATCTGTAGAGGTAGTCGTAATTGCAACCTTCCTAGGTCACCTGACTTCAAACCAATATAACTCCATATTCAACTAACAGATATTTTTCAGATAACTTCCTACTAATTTGCAGAAAGCTATTCTACCGGATTGACAGATAATCTCTTAGTTGGCAATCCTTGATTGCTCTGGGTGACAGAGTTTCAAGTGCCATTCTAGAATTGAGACCTATTCTGGTAAACCACAACGCATTCCTGAACCCAGCTGTAACACTCTGTGAAGTCTATTGTCTTATGTGGTAGTATTCCTCAGAGTTCTAGTCTCTTCTAGTTATCATAGGGTGGGTGTGAATGTATTGGTTTTTCATTGAAATCTTTTAACATTTGATACTAGATTTTGTGCGAAAATGTTCCATTACTTATGGCCCATACTAAAGATGTCACATTTTTGAAGCCTAGTAATTCACTAAGTAGTTAACAGATTTACTCTACTCTACTTTCCCAATTTAGCCGAATGATCTCCACTCATATATCCCACAAACAGGATCCTGTTGGACGGAGAGCAGAGACATGAGAGCAGCTACATATCTGGTATTATTCTTACATCCTAAATTCTGTGGTATTATGGTCACAGGACGCAACTAAGATCGATATGTATGATAACATACAGGACCTTTATGGGGGCCAGAAAAGGATGATGGAGATCAGAGATTCCAATTCTAAGTGAGGTTATCCTACTTAGGATGGTTCTTAGGTATCAGATCCCAGTATTCCTAACACTAACACTGTCATGAATGTGGCTTAGCGAGGAAAGGGTTTTCACGTGATACATAGTTGTAAGTCACAGGTATGTTATTGTTTCATGCATATGACCTATTCGGGTTATATGATTTGTTATATGTGAGATTTGTGATGCTTTCGCACATGGCTCGAGTATGAGTTATGGGACATGCGCCTGACGAGTATGCCTTACGAACGTGCCTTACGGGTAAGCCTTACGCATATGATTTATGTTTCGCACATGACCTCATTATGATGTCATGGGTTTTGTGCATATGACTCAGTCGAGTCATATGACTTGTTTGTTATGATTTAGTTTTGCACATGGGACCACTTTAGGTCACATGACTAAAGGTGGGAAGAACACTATATAAGGAGGCCGATATGACAGAGGAAGATAGGTTCTTCACGCTTTGTTCTAAGTACTTTTCCTACTTATTACTTTAACGAATATAAAACACTTTTACGATCTTTATCTTTATTGCAACGTTATTGTTACGCCAACAAAGGCACGTTACGAAGAAGAGTTAGAGAAAGCTTACGATAGGCGTTCCCGGTAGAAGACAGGGGTCTTGTACTATCGGTAACGTAGGCAGAGGCCTAGAGATATCGTAAGTCATAGGAAGAAGAAGACAGGAAGAGAAGTATCGTTCCCCGTCGCCAAACATTAACTACCCAGAGAGGGATCGTTACAAACACTTTCTATCTTGCAAGCTATCTTACAAACTCTCTTATCCAATAGACCACTCAATATGCATTATTTTCTTGTTAAAAGGTTAAGAGTTGTGCTATACAGGGAAGTGAATTTATTGATAACTGCTCCTTCACAAGTATAATTAAGTTTCTAACAAATTCATCAAAGATATATAATATAATGAAAAGGAGTAAATAGTCTTTTACATGTAAGTGAGATACAACTTATAAAGATCAATAAACTCCAAGGTATATCCTACAAACAACTCTGTTTTATATACTTGAACTACCTATTGGCATTGATTGTTAAAATAATAAGTGGAATTTTGTTAGACATATGGGAGTGCACAGACCCCTCGTGAGGGTAACTGCGCACAGACCCTCATTTATCGGAGTTGCCAACACCTCACTCCTGCTCTCTTATGAGGCCAACATGTCTTTAGTGAGATTTCGAAGAGTTGCATCCCATGACTATAATGTCATTTCAATGAAGTTCACTTCATAATACTATATACATCGCTTTCATCTGTCTGACTGGAAGCCATTTGCAGGATATATAAGAGAGAACCTCTTGGTACCTCTGAGAAGTAGAATAGAGGAAATCTGTTAGAGGCACATTAAGTTACCAGGCTTCAAAGTTAGGCATCCTAATTATTGACTAAAAGTAATATGATGTTTTTATCGTAATAATCTGTAACCACTCCTACAGTATCCCAGAGGCCATGGGAGATTGAAATTATACCAATACCTATCTGAAGGCCGCTATATGTTGGTTGGTCCTGGAAACAGAATCTCTCCAGATGTGATTTTCTTAGAGGTGAAGTGGACTGAAAGGAAGCTGCTCAGACTCAGAAGACCTAATAGGCGGTAGATATAAAAGTATTAGCACACTGTCTATTGAGCCTGCATTATACATAGGTGTACAACATATAAGCTGGCTACTTTGTGTATTCGAAAGAGACTACTGGAATAATAGTTAAACAGACTAAAGTTTCAAGATGTCTATTTGACTCTGTAAATCGCAGACTGTCGGTTGAAAGATAAAAGTACTCCTTCTGACAATGACGACTTCATTATCCAGAACTATGAAGATAGTGTGAAAGAATTCAGGGTTAAATGGTATTCGTACTTGTTAAAGACCAAGGACCGTTACATACAGATTGGAGAAAGATACTTAGTTGTATAGTAGTTAGAAGTAGTCTGCAAATACTCAGACATGGGATATAAATATCAAAGTACCTCCCAAACTCTACAGACATCTGTCAAGCAATGGAAAAGAGATCTTAAAAATATAAAAATTATTCTACTAACGAATCTTTATTACAATATCTTTACTATCCTTACAAGCAAGTTCTTAG